CCCAGTCAGCATCTACAAACGTAGCCACTCCATCTGGTAAAGGTTGCAACTTGTACTTGGGGCTCCAAGCTCGGGCATACTTGAGGCACCTTCCGAGACACCTTAAGTCCATCATGTCCGCTTCCGTCGGGGCCTTCATCTTCCTGGCCAGCGTCGAGGTCGTTTAACTCAGGTCGGGCCGATCTTGACCCAGATCAGCACCTCGCATGACCCAAGACGGGTACAGGGTAGCACCATTCTCGTCGAAGGGTGGTGACTGCTCAGCTTCAAACAGATCCTTGACACTTTTCTTAACAAAGGGCGTTTGGACCGGCTTGACATCGCTCAGGTTCTAGTCTCGAATGATCACGCCCACGCGCCCAACGTCCGCCTCGATGCCTCGATCCACGCTCAGTCAGCTGTCGGATCCCAAATCAGAACTCGGTCGAGATACACAATACTCTGAACCGCCTCAGAAGCTGAAGACAATCTCCCAGTCACCTTGCAGTCGCACTTGCTCAACAGCTCATCGAACCACTCCTCGTCGCTGGCAAACATCAACGCTCCGAAATCATCTCCGCGCACTTCCAGGGCCACGTCGCGCTCTGGATGCCACGAGATCGCCGGGCCAGACCGGCCTTGCTCCACGTAGTCGCTCTACCACACCTGGCTCGCATCCGATGTACCTTACACGGCTCCATTGAATAGCCCAACCGTCGGTTCGGCTTCACCCTCTCGCTCTCTGGGCGGAAGTCCCACCCAAATCCGACGGGGCGCACTGCCATGGAAGCGCGCCCAGCTCACGTCACAAAACTTGCGCGCGATCTCTCTCGGCGACGCACTGCGACACTGCTCGCGCGCCCTGCCCACGAACAAGCCAACCAGCGCCAGCAACGCCCCCGGCGGCGGCGCGCCCAGGAAGAGGTCCTTCGCCGGAGGAAGCAGACCATCAGCGCGCCGTCGCACACTCATCTCTCTCGCCACCAGCCCCGAGCGGCATGGCTGCCGTTCCTGGTCTCCCACGTCGGCGTCAATCCGCCGCATTTAAATCGGCCGACCTCCTTCCAACCCCTTTTCACGCCTGGGTACCTTGGCCCGAACGTCTCGACCCCTGCGCCACTCCTCCAACTCGTCGCGCCTCGCATCTCTCACGCACTGCAGGCCCAGAAAGCCACCGCGCACGTCGTCCACGCGGGCTTCCGCCCCCCGGCCGACGCCCCCCTCGAGCGGCGAAGGTCTGGCCCGGCAGTTAGACCAAGCAGCTCGCTCATCGACTCTCGCAGCCGAAGCACTTCACGAAGTCCCTCCAGGATCGCCTTCGCCAGCTGATTGGGGCACTTCTGTGCTGCTCGTGCTCGTTTGTCTCCAATCAGGTGCACGCGTCGGCGCGGCTCTCCACCTCCCCCACGTCGGCCCTCGCACTCCAGGATCTCAGCCAAGATTCTCGGATTCGCCATCCAGCCAGTCTCCTCGCGGACAAACGCCACGCGCCCATCGGCGACAGCAGGCCCCATCAGCACATGGGGCCTCACGCCGCGCAAACTCCAGCTAGAGCACGAACGCGCATCACGATCGTCGTTGCTCAGCGCCCGGAGCAAGCAAGAGATAGCACAGGGGGCCGATACCGTCGCGAGCACCGGGCCTTCCCCATCCAACTGATCCATGCGCTCTCCGCGCTGCTCCTCGTCAAGCAAGTCCCACCTGGCGGCGAGATCTGCCGCCAGCCCCGCCGCTGGACCAAGCCCAAACGCCCTCTGCTTGAACCGCTCGGGGAAGCAGATCTCCGCAAGGTCAATTCCATTCATCTCGGTCAGCGTCTTAGCTACCTCCTTCAGCTCGTCGCGCGCCATCTCGTTGTCGCCGAGCAAGTCTGCGGCGCTCACCAACGCCAAGATCCCCGGGTACATCTGGCCCTTGACCACGTCAAAGGAGCCTAGATCCACGTTGCTGCCAGCTGACACCGCTGGCCCGGCCAGGTCCCCCATGTCGCCTGAACCTCCAGCCCCTCTGGAATTTGGGCTGCCACCACTGCGCCTGAACTGCTGGACGCTGATCCAGCTCCTGCCTGCCGCGGCGCGTCCGCCGCCGGCTCGCCATCCAAGGCCATCTTGACATGGTCCGGCTATACACTCGCTGCCCGCTTCCAACCTGGCGTCAATGCGGCTCGCGGCTGAACTGGTCGCTCTCGCCTTCGCGGCTTGCTCGCAACCCGCCCGCGAGCTCCCACGGGCTCCGCGCCCATCCCGCGCTGGCCCACTCCGCCTTCAGCTGCTGCCCGAACTGGCGCAGCTGGAAACGGCGCTGACCCGGCTCCTTCAGCGACCCCTCCGCCGCAATCGGCGGCCGCGCCTGCTGGCGCACCCTGACCCGCACTGCCTTCCTGCGCTTCTCCTCGAGCACCCATGCGAAGATGGTGCTCCGCCAGTCGAACGCGACCGGCCTCGGCCATCAACATCTCCTCTGCGATTCGGTCTCGGCGCTCCTGTGAATGAGCAACCCTCGCCGAACCACCAGCTATCAAACTGACGCAGCCTGGGCATCCAGGCGTCTGGCCGCGCTTCTCGATATCCCCCTTGAGCACGCGGCGCTTCCTGATGGCCGCGTCGCGCCCCTCCTGTCTTTGAGTAGACAGACGCAAAGGCCCACGAGGGCCTGCCAGCTCCACATCGGGCGAGACCTGCCACGGCAAGCCCTTCAGCTGGCCCCAGCTTTCGACTGCCATCGCCTGAGCTCCGGGCAACCCCGAAGCCTCGAGCACTGACCACACCGCGCGCGTCATGATAAGCAATGCCCCAGTCCACGGACGACATCCACAAAGCGTCCAGGAAGCACCTCGGGCGCCAGGGCACTGCGAGCATCTCCTCCACCAAGCGGCCGGTAGAACACACGCTCCCCACACTGTGCCACGAATTACGAACAAGGTCGTCCGCTCCTGCGTGCCTCGCCAGTCAAACCGTCGACACCAATCTTGAACTTGGCGATCGCATCTGCTGCGAACTGAGGAGGCCACTCGACGCTTGATGATCGGACGGTCCACGGCGCTCTCAAATCCGAAGACACGCTGCCGAGCAAGGAAGTTCGCCCTGATATTCCGGTTCATCTCCTCGGCCGCCCCCCCACGTCTCCGCCGCTCTTGCACTCGCCCTTGGGAGACTCCACCGGCCCGCACTCGATCTGCGCGTCCACTGCGACTCTCAAGGCATTCTTGACCGCGCAGATGCTCGCCTCGCCGTCGGATTTGAACTGGGCGCGCCAGTGCCCCAGGTGCTCGAGGAAGCCCGCGAGCTACTTGACCGCGAAATCCGATGAAGTCCTGTCCTTCGCGGCGGTCGCGCCCTTCACCTTGCAGGGGCGATCGGCAGCCAACAATCATTGGAATGGAGTCTGGATCCCCCACGTTGTCCACCTTCTCACCGATGAGAGCGAAGTCGACGCTGACGACTGGACCCTCGCTCTCTCGATCCTTTGCTGCCTGAACGCGCTGGTCGCCAAGGCCTGCTGCTACGACGCACTCCTCGCACCGAACGAAAATCAACATGCCCTTACGCGATGTGGTTCTCGATCCAGATATGGCTCGGTCCTCTGGCGATCTGCTTCACGCGCGGCGGCGCCACCTCGGGGGCTCGCACCTACCCCCGGCCCTCGTCTGGTCTCGCAACTGGCGCCAGGCCCGGGCCCCCAGCCAAGGCGCCAAGCATTTCCGGCCTCGCGGGCGAGCCTGCCGACGAAGGTCCGAACCAGACCCATCACTGATCGGGCCGAGATCACCTCCGCCTCCAGGCAAGCCTCCAAACTGGACTCTACGTTCACCGCTCGCAGCTCCTTCTTTCTCCCAGACGTAGCCGACGCACAAGCCGTTCTCCACGCGCAGCGGGATGATGCCGACTCGCACCAGACCGCCTCCTCGATCATCTCGCTGACGCGCCTGGCGATGTCCGAATGGCCCAGCAGGGTGAACCCACCTTCTCTCGTTAACCAGGTCGCTCTCCCAGCATCGCGCACTTGATTCGCCGACGCCAGCGGCTCGTGAACATCTGCCATGCGGCCCTTCATCGCAGTCGGCCCGCCCCGCCTTCAACTCTGACACCGCCGCTGCACGGACTAGTCTCGCCTGAGGCCGCCCCGCAACTCGCACTCGCGCGCGCCGCGCCCCTCTGGCCGTTCGCGTCGACGGGGAAAGTCGCCATGGCAGCTCCAGAACCACATGTAAATCGACACCATCCTCCGCGGCCCCCTGGGCGTCTACGCCACCGAGGGGCGCAAACCTCGAAGCTTCCAACCTCGCGACTCATCGTCCAAACTTGGCTCGCCGACAGCGGCGACGATGATCGGTCATTATTCCAATCTGTCTCTCTAGTCGGGCCCCCGGCCTGACTTCCACTCTGGTCGAACACGTTGGAGCCCCGGCTGCTGCCTCTGTACTTGCCACCCTTGACACGGCCTGTGCCTTTGCCTTCCTGATCCTCATCTTTGCCGCCCTCGGCGTTGCACTTGCCGCCCCTGCTATTATAAGTCAGCTCCATGCGACAGTCGCTCGACTTGTGACCGGGCAAGCCGCGCCTCCAGCACGCGGGGCTCCGCCCTCTGTCTCGACCTTTGCCCTTGGAATCCTGATCCAGCTCCTTTGCACAGCGAATCCACGTCCATCGTGTCGTTATTCAGCTTTCGCTTGAACGCTCCTTGCGACTGTCTCGACTCCAGGAAGATTTTGACCCCCCCGTAACCTGATCGGTCGTGTCCAGCCGCGTCTTGTCCATAGCCAAACGCAAGTCGAGCTCCTCTGGAACCATCGTGTCCAAATCCGCCCTCTTCACATCGTCATCGACTTTCTTGTCCACTTCTTCTCATACCGTCTCCTAAGCTCCCCCATTGCTCGAGCTTCGCGTGCAATTCGGCCAGGGCGATGCGCTGCGGGTTCATAATCTGCCTGGGTCATACCCATCGTTTTCCTCCTGAAGATGTGTCCCATCGTCTGGTCAACTTCCTCATCGACTCGATGTCGTTGCCTCTCTGCGTATTAATCACGATTGAGAAACTCTCGCATTCCGTCAAAATCTCCCGGGCAACGTACAACTGGCCAACCTTCTCCTCCCAGCCGGATATATTGACGTTCTCGTCGGCCTCCTCACCGATCTGCTCCTCTAGCGCTTCCATCGTGATCGGCGTCGGGTCCTGCGCCTGGTCCTCGACCCACTCCAGGAGTCTTCTGAACTGCTCACCGAAGATCGCAATGAGATGAGCACACGTCTTGCGGTACCATTCCACAAACGTGCCTTCATCGTTATTGAAAATCGCAGGCTTAGCAAGCCCCTTCGTATCCACCAAGGAAAAGCCACTCGACTTGTCATTCGCCGCGCTCGTCTCGGCCAACATACGGGCTGCGTCTCCCAACTGCTGACCCAGCCTGGGCAGATCTCCTTGGAACTGCTGCTGTCGTTGAACCTCCTGCTGAAACTGCTGCTGCTGCTGCACTTACAGCTGCTGGTTCAAGTTGTTGTTCTGAACCGTCAGCTGTTCCACTTGTTTTTTGCACGTTAGCGAAGGCGGCGCGGTCCTGCTCGTTCATTCTCGATATAATTGAGGTACTGGCCAAGATTGGCCCAAAACTTCTTCAGCCTCTGTACCCGCCAGAATGTCAGTGGCAGCCACCTCCACGCTGGTGCCGCTCCTCTCAAGCGCCTGCTGCGCCTGTCACGTCGGTCGAACCCGTCGTCGAGATCGATCGTTTCCCAGCCGTCCTAAGTCGCCGCCACGGTCAGCGATGGCGGGCGGCGGGCTGGGCCGGTCTCGCGGCCCGCGGGTGTCGAAGGCAGGGAGCCTCGCACTGCTGGCAGCAATTGCTGAGGAAGTCTCACGCGAGCTCCCCATTCTGAACGCTCCATCCTTGCTTCTGTGTGAAACTGCACAATGGATGCGCGCGGGGCTGAGGGGACAACTACGTTTCAAATTGAGTGCGCAAATTGAGTGCGCGCGGCAGAAATGCGTGAGTCGCAAGCTGAAAAACGCCCGCCCCCCCTTCCTTGCAAGCACAATGGGCACCGGACAAGAGGGAATCAGGAACACTTTCTTCGGGAGTGAGAACTCGAAACGAAACAGAAACAAAACCAAAACAAATGTGTCCGCGGATCTTCAAAACTCGTGCTTGTGCTTCACGTCTCCTGCCGAGAGGAGAAGAAGGTGGGGGCACGGATCCCCAGAACAGCCACCTGCCAGTGCGCCCCTCTCCAGAGGCCTGCTTCGGGCCTCGCGCCTCCGAGACGGAGTCGAGATGCAAGGGGGGGCCATGCCGCGGACAATCCGCGGCGTCGGATGTCTGAGTCTGGCGTCGATCAAATCCGCCACCGCGCTTGCAGCGCTTGGCATGCGTCGGGCCCTTTCGCCTTCTGCGGAACAACAGATCGGGGCCACCCGGCGCATCGAGCCCAAGATGCGCTCTCAGTTGTGACCCAGTCCTGCGCTTCTGGCCTCCTAGGCAGAACGTGGGCTCAAATACAAAAACCTGGGGAAGGGAGTCCGTAGCCCCTCCCCCCTCCACCCCTCCCACAAGGTGCCCCCGCCCCCCCGCCTGAGCGCGGTGGCGGAATCGTGCGGCAGCTCATCTAGATAATCAATACGGGCGTTGCCTCGCACGCGATTTCGGAGCCCGGGGGCAACTTTCGGGCCCTGGGATCTGCAGAGGTTGACCCGCGGCGAAATGCTGGTCGGGGGCCTGCTTCATAAACCAAAGCGGCTGGCGGGCCGGCGAAACGGCGCCAGCGCCTGCCAGCGGGGCTCTCGGGCCGGAGGCGGCGTGCCCATCCTGGACTTCCGACATAGGACACTTCTTGTTCGGGTCGTGGGCCCCAGGGCTCTCGACCCAACCAGCATCCTGGCGCCGTTCCTCCTGACCGCCAGTCGCTCTTGTGTACGAAGCAGGCCCCCGTGCAGCATCTCGCCGCGGGTCAACCTCTGCAGACCTCAGAGCCCCAAAGCTGCCCCCCGGGCGCCGAACTCGCGCACGAGGCAACACCCGCCTTCGGTGTTGATCGACGCCAAGCTCAAACATCCGACATCACGGCCTGCTCATGACGTGGGCGCCCAGACATCTCGACCCCGTCCTGAAGGCCCAAAGGCTGAAAGAGACCTCTGGATGCCCACGCTCAAGCAAGACTGGCGGTCACGTCTGTTCTAGACGCCGGAGGTCGGAGGTGGCAGAGGTCTATGGAGGCCCGCAGGTCCCGAGAAGGCTCCAGAGGCTTCCAGACGCCGAAACAGGCGACATCGCCCAAAAACCTCAATCCCCCACACGGTCCTCCCCTGGGACGCAGAAGGACATACTAGCACCTAGCACGGTGCGCCCTCCTTGGAGGCGCACGTCCGAACCCATCGTGTAGCACAAACAGCTCACAGTACATCGCTACCCAGGCGATGTGGCCAGAAAGCGCCCACCACCGAGCACATACTGTAAGAGTTCTGCGAGCGCGCACCTCTCGTGGGGGGCCTACACACACGCAGTACAGTATGAGTGTGTTTCGCAGTGCGCTGCCGCTGCTGGCCGCGCCGGCGCGCTCGGAGTGGAACTCTTCCACATCTGAGTGCCCTCCGCCTCCCCCTTGTCCTCCGCGGCCGCCCTGTCTGTCTCGATGTCCCTCTCCTGCACGCCGGCTACTTTGCCGCTCGGTCGCCCCGAGTCGCCCCTCGCCAGTGCGGACTGCCTCCGCCTCGCCGCCGACGGCAAGAGAGTCTCGCGGTGCAGATCCTCAATCCTTCTCGAGGCAGGCGGCGGCCACGCGGAGCCTGCAGGACCATGTCCCTGTCCTGGGCGATCTCGAACTCGCTCTGGATCTCCTGGCGGCTCGAGGGCACGCGCCTCGCCCCCAGTGCACGTCCTCGCCATCGTCCTCGTCGTCTTCTTCTTCCTCCTCCTCCTCCTCCTCCTCCTCCTCCTCATCATCATCATCATCATCATCATCATCAGCAGCAGCAGCATCAGCATCATCATCATCATCAGCAGCAGCAGCATCAGCATCAGCATCAGCATCAGCATCAGCATCAGCATCAGCAGCATCATCATCATTACCAACAACAACATCAACAACATCATCATTTTCATCAGCAGCATCAGCATCATCAGCAGCAGCATCAGCATCATCATCATAATCAGCAGCATCATCATCATCAACAACATCATCATCGTTAGCATCAGCATCATAATCATCATCATCAGCAGCAGCATCAGCATCGTCATCATCAGCAGCATCATCATCAGCATCTTCATGATCATCATAATCAGCATCATCCTCATCCTCATAATCAACAACATAATCTTCCTCATCCACATCATCATCAGCATCATCATCGCTGTTTCCTTCTTTCCATCCTCATCCTTGTTATCCTGAGCACCATCGCCACCACCATCCCTTGTTAGCCTGAACGCCATCGCCACCACCATCATCAGAATCTTCATCATCGTCATCATCACCTTCATTATCAGCACCATCACCATCATCCGCAATATCGCCATGAACATCACCACCATCATCGGCATCATGATCAACAACATCATCATCAGCAGCATCATCATCAGCATCAGAATAGTCGACAACAAAACATCCATGTCCTCATCCTCATCCTCACCATCAACACCGTCAGCATCAGCCACACCATCATCATCACCGCCATCAGCATCATCATCACCAGCAGCAGCAGCATCACCACCATCATCATCAGCATCATCAGCATCGTCATCAACATCGCCATCAACAACATCAACGGTATCAACAGCAACAACAACAACAGCAACAACAACGGCAGCAACAACAACAACACCAACAACAACTAGAAGTTGAAGACTGTTCACTTATTGTGCTCGCGTGTCGCGTAATATGCAAATCCCTCGATGCCCATCCTCTTCGTATTCGATCGTACCCCATTGGGGGTATATCTTGCTGGGCAACGTCTTCGGCAGCCTTCCTGGGGCCAAGAGGCCGCCGATGCATAAGAACGAAGACCGGGAGGCCCTGCAGGAGGGCTCAAACCATCAAAAGTGGAGAGGGCCGTAAGTTCTTGAACAAGCTGCGCTTTCTGGGCTCCTTGGCCTAAAATGGTCTCGTGAGGGGCTCGGAAGAGCCAAGCACAGGCCAAAAGAGCGTGATGAAGGTCTCCAGAAGCCCCCGCCCCAGGCGGCCCGTGACAGTCCCAAGAGTACCCCAAGACGGCCCAAGACGGACCTAGGAAAGCCAAAGAGGGAGGAGGAGGAGGAGGAGGAGGAGGAGGAGGAGGAGGAGAGGAGGAGGAGAGGAGGACCAGTGTAAACCCCAGAGGCACCAACGATGTTGGAAGAAACCCTCCCTCCAAGCTCCCTCTTCATAGGCCCCTACAACGGTTCATTTCCATTGAGGGAACTGCCTCGTTGGAAGACAACCGTTTGAAGACCCTGCAGCATGCTGAAATTTTGCTCTCGGGATTCCAACGCCACGGATCAACACGACTGTTGCGTGTTGACGATCCAGAGTCGTGCCAGAAAGCCATTCCTGGGACGTCAACACAGCGAATCAACATAATTGTTGCGCCCGCGTAGTTCTGAATCCTTTCAAAACACCATTTCTGGCACGTTGATGATGGGAATCCGTGAAACTCGTGAAATGTTTTAACGAATGTGCGCGGCGCTAAGGCGAGAGCCACATTTTGAAAAGGAGCCGCCCTCAATCCGTGAAACTCTTGCAAATTTCTAAAAACGAATGTGCGCGGCGCTAAGGCGGGAACCACATTTGGAAAACGGCCCGCCCACAATCCGTGCAGCTCTTGCAAGTGTTTAAAACGACTGTGCGCCGCGCTAAGGCGGGAGCCACATTTTGAAAACGACCCGCCCACAATCCGTGCAGCTCTTGCAAGTGTTTAAAACGAATGTGCGCCGCGCTAAAGCGAGAGCCACATTTTGAAAACGACCCGCCCACAATCCGTGAAACCGCTGTCACTTTTTAAGCTTCGGAGTAACAAATGGCGAGGAAGTCTCTGGCGAAACGCCCGTACCGCACTCAAAATTGGCCTCGGGGTACGACGGGGAGAAATTATTTATAAGGAAAAGGAATGGAGGAGGAGGAGGAGGAGGAGGAGGAGGAAAAGGAATGGAGGAGGAGGAGGAGGAGGAGGAGGAGGAGGAGGAGGAGGAGGGCCCCAAGAGGCCCCCAAGAGGCCCCCCAGACGGCCGAGAGGAGCCCAAGACTGCCCGAGATGGCACAAGGACAGCCCAAAAAAGGCCCCACGGGAGCCCGAGACAGCCCCCACGAGAGCCGCTGAAGGAGAAGACACGTTTTTTGGTCTGCGGGGCGAGAGCGAACCTCTTCAGGTAAAAGCTAGGCGGGCTACGCACAGCTCTAATTGGGGAGACAGGGCACAGGCGGGCGGGGCCTCAGGCGGCCGGAGGGCGGGCCGACTGAAGGAGAAGACACGAGAGGTGTCACATGTTACGGCCTCCGGTGCGTGAAGCGTCGCCGCTCAGAGTGCTGCGCCGGCACGGTGACGGGTCTTGCCGCAGGCAGCTGGGCATCCCGCTTTCCACGCGCGCGATGGAGCAGAGGACGAGTTCCAATGGCTGATCGGATAAGGACCACCTCTGAATCGGAGTCCGGGCACACATGCTTGTGTCGGGCTTTTGAGCCTGATCCATGGCGGCGTGCTTCTCTCACCCCAGCGATTGTTCTGCGTAGAGCCACCCACTGAGAGCCAATGCGTAGTATCATTGCCATTGCCAGTGGGCACGTTGTGTGAATTGTAATCGTTCACACCGTTGCCAGCTTGTCCGTGTATTGGATTTGCAGTGGCCGACAATTGAGACACATCGAAGCATCCCTGATTAGAGGGCAGACAATCCACCCCGATAATCACCACCCCGACGCGCGAAGCCTTTAGTAAACGCACCCCAAGAAGGAATCAAACAGGGCAGGGCTGTTTAGTAAACGCCCAGGGCCGTTTAGTAAACGCCAATTGCAGGGTCCGGGTGGTTTTTCCTCCCTTGACTGATGGCCGCCTGCCTACAGCGTCTGGTCGCAGACAGCGTACTGCCGCTGGCCCGGCAGTGGGGCAGGACACCTCGCCTGCTGGCGCGGCGACGGGTTCCTCACCAGGCGGACACCTCTTGATGGGCCGATGTTCCACCACCACCACCATAGGTAGGAGAGGGAGGAGGAGGAGGAGGAGGAGGAGGAGGAGGAGGAGGAGGAGGAGGAGGACCTCCCCATCCTCCCGTCTCCTCCGTCCTATGTATATGGTAGTAGTGGTGGAAAATTGGTACATCACCTCTGGCGAATCCCGTGCGCACGAGTGGCGAACGCCAGGAGCCCGACCGAAAGCAACGTGGCTTTCAGGTGCCACGGATGACGCGGCAAGCACGGAGCACGAGGCGCACAAGGACATGCTAAGTGCTAGATGTCCTCCTTGGAGGCGTGCGTCCGACCCGAACATGTAGCATACCCATCTTGTAGAGTATCGCCTCCCGAGCGGTGTGGCCAGACAGCGCCCGCAACGACGCATATGCTATAAGATTTATCGGTGCGCGCGTCGCCCCTGGGAGGGGGGGGGGGGGGGGCGACGCACACACGCATCGTATCAGTATGTCGGGGTGACGCCGAGAGCATGGTGAGCGTGGCTAGGGCCAGAGTGGCGAGGACGCAGACGACGAGGGGCCTTGCGGGCTCCAGAGCATCGGGGGCTGGCGGTGCCGCCGCCCCCCGGGCGCGCCCTGCCGAGCCCGGGCCCGCTCTGCCGACCTGGGGGGGCCCACCCCGCGCGGTGCTGGCCGCCACCCTCACGGGCGCACCCCTCGCAGCTTTCGTGCCAGCACGCTACTGGAGTCGGTGGCGAGCCTGGGGGGGAAGTGAGAAAGGGCGGGCCTTCTCAGAAGGCTCGGAAAAACCCCAGCCTTCTGAGATGTTCTCTATGCCTTCCCCGAAGGCGCAGAAAACTTCTCGGAAGGCGCGAGGGCTTCTGAGAAACCCCGCCGCCTTCTGAGAGGGCCTTCTCCTTCTCACTTCCCCCCCTCGCTCGCCGCCGAACCAGGGAGGAGGAGGGCAGGAATGGAGGAGAGGACGAAAATGGGGGCAAGAGAGACAAAAAATGATGCCGGTTCTTCCTGTTTGCGGGCAGCAGCGCAGCCCTAAGAATCAGACATGGTCTGCGGAGCGGAGGAGCGGAGGCGAGTGGGGAGGGGGAGAGGGGGATGTGGAGGGGTGCGGGAGGGGTGCGGGAGGGGGAGGGGGGGTGGAGAGGTAAGGAGGGAGGGGAAGCGGAGGGGTGAGGAAGAAGGAAGGAGGAAGGAGGGAGGAAGGAGGAGGACGCGGGAGACGAGGAGGAGGGAGGAGAAAGAAGGAGGGAGGAGAACGAGGAGCGCCAAGTGCGCTGTACATGCTTCAAGGGTACCTGAACCCATACGTAAGGATGGGGCGGTGGAGAGCGAGGAGGAGAATGAGCACCAAGAGGAGCCGCGGTGGCTCCTGTATCTGGTCCGTGAGTTGCTGGATGCTCTGCTGGTCGTCCTGCGACTC